TTTGAAAGTATAGCTTTTGAAAGTAGGTAGCTTTTGAAATAATACATTTTTCACAAAAAAGAATTAAAACGTAACATTTTGTGTTCATAGACGTAACATTTTCTGTTCATAGAAGTACGAGTACCTAATTTGGTTGGATCTCAACGATTGATGAAAAAATAATCACACAACAAATTCTTTATTCTCTGTGCTTGCGAAATAAACTCCCTGCATTAAGTAAGTAATGGTTCCCAAAAATGATCATCGTCCAAAATAAACGAGATCAGTTTTATGTAAGATAAATCTTACCTCAAGTTTTTATCTCGGCGTAACGCCCCCGCCGCCATCCATCCGGATTTGCAGATTATTTTAAATGTTTATTGTTAGATTTACAAATTGCGGTTGACAAAGAGCTTTCCGTGCCAGCAATGAGTTGAAAGATTAAAGGAAAAGGAAGCTGAACATTTGTAATTTCATTTCTTTTTGTTGCTCTAATATTTTTCTATAATCTCTTATTGCATTTTTAACATGTTAAGATAGCTCTGTTTCAGTGTCAATATTTTGAGCTTGGCGAGAAAAATGCAACCCGTTTCTGAGGTACAGTCGCCAAAATCAGAATAGGTATACTTTTTTGATGTAAGATCGCATCTATGTAAGTATTACAGGTAACATTAAGACGCTACAGTATTTAACAGATGTGCCATCTTCCATGCATCTGAAGATAGTTATTAGTCGATGCTGATAAACCTTCATCACAGCGAAAAAAGAACATTCGTCAGTCAACATTCTCCACAAAATGGCTTTCGTGAAAAATTCTCCCCACTGACATTTCCTATGACACAGTAAATCCCATTCTAGTGCACAGGCGTCGCCAGCGGCGGCTGTCAGTGGCGTTTTCAAAAAGAATTTACCGCCGCATAGGGTGGCCATCGAGCTAAAAAAGGAGGAACCCTAAACAATACGCTCCGTGCACGGATCGTGTGTCCTTTACAGTCCTTTACCTGGAACGGCAACGTTAGATCATAATACAAGATGAGCTATCCCATTTCCCTTTGTTTCCACTCAACGCGTATGGAATTTGAAACGCCTGTGTTTGGTTCCGGAAAAAAAGCCGTTTGGCAATCCTACACGGAACAACAGACGAATGTAACGAAATGCTGCAAATCACATGGCGTTTGTGTTACCGCGATTTATTGGTTTGTGTGCGACCGGTCATGACACTCGTGACTGTGTGCAGTTTCACGATATTTATTCATTCTTCGCGCGGAATGCATAGATAGTTTAGTAATGCGGCCGCGTCGGCCGGAAGTATTATAATGAAATGCTCGCCCAGAATAATATTAAGGAATAATGGTTAATATAAAAACGCTACAATATTTAAGTCTTCAACGCCGACTAAAGATAAAGATAAATATTTTCACCGATTACTTTACTTCATTTCGACATTTTTTTCGAAACTGAGTTATCTACACCATATTAATCAATTTCGCAAGACGAATCGATCTGTCTACTCGCCTGAACATTTTCCAAAATGTCAGTTACGTCAGTTAGAGAGGCAAGCGACGGTTCGACTAGCTTTTGCCCACAGCTGCACCAGTGTGAGATTCAGTTTGTCGGAGATCGTTATTAATTTAATAACGTTTTTGGTATTCTGATGAAAATCAATAAGTACCTAATACTGAAAGTTCTCCAAAATCTGTTCAGCAGTTTTTACGTGAAAGAGTAACAAACATCCATGCACACTTTCCCGTTTATATTATTAGTAGGATTAATATTATTGCGTTCAAGCATTAACTAACTCCATGAAATAGGGACGGCGAATAAAGCAACCCTAATAAAATATGTATTTCAAAGTGCAACTTTGCAAATCAATACCGACTCCATTATTCGGGCACTAAGTTAGTCTAAGGTCTTAGTAGAATTTCGACCGACATCTTCTATTATTCATGGGACAAAGTGAACCGTCTATCAGGTCACGTGGTTGTTATTGCCTGCATCACACCACAGCGTAAAAAAGTTAGTTTTAAAAGAAAATTTCTTTGAAAATACTTCAAACTGGTATACATGGCCGTATTGAGTTCTCTACAAATATTTATTTAGTAACTAAGTATAAGTCGGTTGATTTCATTTACGTTCAAGTACTTAGTTACATCCTTTAAGCTCTACTTAAGATGCGATTAAAAAAAACTATTATGTTGCATAGCAATGGTAATTGTATCTACGGAAGGTTGTCCAAGTCCTTAGAATCTTCAGAAAATACTAACTTGTATTATGATAACCTCTAACCCCTTTGCTGCCGCGGATTTGTGTAAATAAAAAATCCTTACTGTTCACCTCTAACCTGTGACCATACGTAAGGCCGCGGGCTGCCTATGACATTATTAAAACTCAGGCGCATCTCTGCTCGAGTGACGCTAAAAAACTACGTGACCGCGTTGCACAATTGAAGTTTCCCCTCTGAAAAATCGCTCGGGCCCAAAATTTGGAGCGGATCCTGAACGAATAAAGGAAAAAATAACGGTCGCCATCGCATGGGCACTCCGCAGTGTCCCGAATAAATTATGCTGATAAAACTTTTAGTCAGAGTGTTATGGGACGCGCTATTCCTTTAATGATGATTTGATATGGCTGGAATCCTGCTCGACTGTGTCAGTGTCACATTATTTGGGAATTTAGTATCGTGAGGGGTTACTTAATACACATACTTGACCGTTTTTGTCTTTTGATATTATTATAATCGAATCTAAAAAACCTAGCCCAGTTTCCCTTCTTATAGTTTAGAATGTTTTAACCAAGAAACTTTATGGCTTATGCAACAAATAAGATCTGAAATCCTTACAACTGTTGCCGTTTCAAATACAAAAAGAACAGAAAATGAGAGCGCGCTTTTATGAAAGTTTATGGCATAGTGCGCTGTCAACGCGAACTGCAAAGTCGCGGTACGAACTAGTCTTGTTACGAAATAATGTTGAACAAGAAAAAACTTCACTTTAATGTCAAGGAATTATTATTAAATGGGGCAAAAGAAAACTGAAAAGTCTGTTTCTAACTTTTCAAAATACCTATATTTTAAAAGCTTGTCCCACTTAAATAGGCTGCGCATTAATCGCTAAAATTAAAAGTACTTGTCTTTACTCTAGTATAAGTTTTAGCAAAGCATCGTTGTAAAAAAAATGCATTTTGCTTTAAAATAAGGTGCGTTATCAATATTTCCATGTGCCATAACTGAGAAAAAGTGTCGCGCCCATTATTTTACGTTTTAACGTCGCCATTTTAAAAATATTCTGCAATAAAAGGGAGCATTTCCAAATGGATGTCTACAACTTAAACGTTTCACGGTTATTAAACCAGGGCCGGGCGGCCGCGGAATGGTTGGAGACGCATTAATTCAAGTGCAACACGAAAAATGCATTAGCTCGGGTTTGGTCATTCGTCATTGTCCTGCAAATCATAGCCTAGATGGATTTTTCTAAGACTTAGTACGACTTAATACTTAATTGTAGCGTATTAGTAGGAGTTTTTGCAAGCTAATAGAAGTTTTCCCTTATTCTGATTTATATTAAGAATCAAAAAGGATTCTGGTCTGTGATTGATTGTCCAAATATTGAAACCGACTTGAATTTGAAGCAAATTAATGCTGACACTGAGATTCGTAATAGGCCGCGTAATCTTGAGAAAAAAGTTATTAACATTGACATAAATTGTCTTTCATGTTTCATTAATGTTATTAAGTGCACTAGTTTGAGGTTCCATTTGAAGGCACTTAGTAATTTCCTTATGTATGAACTTACTTTGACTACCAAAACAGCTCAAAACCGGCATGAATATTTTCTTCTTGTTTACAAAATCGATACACACAGTTAACTTAATTTTGAGTTAATTTAACAATAGCATTTATAAGAATTCATCTCATCAAGGTGTTATAATATTTGCTTGCTTCTAATATTAATTTGGGCATATGAAATTGAAATTTAATCAGGTGACTCAGCAGACGGGAATCTATACCTACTTTAATTGATCGTGGAAAGTTTGTAACTGAAAAAACTAGGCTTTTTGTAACTTCAAATTAGTTGGAAGAAGTTATCAGACATTTTTTATTCATGTAATTATAAATGGTAAGTTGATTACTTTTAAAATCGCCACATAAAATGAGCGAGTATTAACGGACCAATTGGATCTCTTTCAGACTGCTCAAAGAGCGGATAGTTGTTTCAAGGACAAGGTATAGATCGTTTAATCCACGAAGACGCGCCCCACCTTTCTTCCGTTAATGTTTGAGTGTTATCGGTACACGCTAAATTATCTATGAGTACACACCCCTACTACAATAATGACGCTCGAATTGCTCGGATCAAACTCTCCGCACCCCGCGCTTCCCTCGACAAAAATTGGTGGGGCGCGTCTTCGTAGATGAAACGGTCTAAGCTGAAAATCAAACTCACATTTTCAAGGACATTTATTCAATATTATATTTCAGTATTCGTAAATTACACATTTATTGTCAAAGTCAACGTAATATTAGCACAAGATTCCGAGATGAGTATACACCTAAGTGCAAACAATTCGCGTTATGTCTACACAGATGCTATTCCATGCCCAATTTATTTGCACTTGATTGTAATAAAACAATAATGAGTATATGCACTATGTGAAACGTTCCTTCTATGTATACTATACTTAACATACCTTACTCTAGTCAGTTAAATATTTTAAATCTATTATTTTAACACTATGTTTTTTTTTCGTAAAGTATGAATTTTAAAATGGAATTCAATTGTATTTTTAATAATTACCTAGGTATGTTAACTGTTTACTTTATAGATACAACTTTTAATTTATCGTTTAATAATATAATTACAATCCGTGAACATTACAATTAATATACATTAACATTAAATATACAAAAAATATCACATTGTACATGGAAATCTCTGCTTTAAATATTAATTGATAAAATACTTATTATGTAAATAAATTAACAAGATATTAACAATAAATATTAAAAGAAATAGAAATTAAACTTCATATAAAACGTATTACAAATTCAACTGAATGGATAACCTAAACCGATTTTAAATAAATCCTTTGTTTTTCTGTTGACGGCGCCGCGGCGCCGGTACAACCGAGAGTATTTTAAATTATATTTTTTTTATTTAAATCCTTTTAAGGAAAGTCAAGAAAGTGAATTTATTTATCTTTAAAATGGTTTGAAGAAAGACCTATAATTTTCATTCCTTCAAATATACGTCATAATTATCTACAGTGATAGTTGAAATTCCTATAGGTTTTTGTTTCAAATGATTATGAAACTGATTGAAAACTGACCATTATTGGAAATCATGGACACGGTATTTTCGTAACGCTACAAATTGACAATTCACAGTACAGTACCTGTAAAAACATTGCATTTAACTTGTTGTTTACTTTACTGAGAATTTTCACGATTATAATCCGTTATTGTATTTCAATTTTCAATTTGAACAAAACGGTGTAGAACAGATTTCAGCAAAGCACGTTTTGACGCGTATTTCCTGGAACAGTCCTGGAAATACGCGTCAAAACATCAACATCAGACAAAAACGTCAGACATCAAAAACAGTTTTGATGTCTGACGTTTGATGAAACAACAAATGCGTTCAAACTAAGAGCTGGTTTAAATAATAACAAAATCTGTGTAACATTTGGCTATTGCCAGAACATTAACACATCTTTGGTGCAACATTGTCAATGACATAGATTCATAGAAAGTAATTAAAAATATTTTTGACGTCAAAGTCCGGTAAGTGCATACAGCGTGGGCAAACGGACAATATTGGGAATGGCAGATTAACTACAGCTTTAAAAAAAAAGAGAAGTTTACTTTGTATCCAATGTGGGAAAATCGGGCTTTTGATTTAAACGTATTCAAATATTGATTGACAGTTATTGCGGGGGAAGTTGATCCACGCACGAGCGGGTTCTAGCATGAGTGGGTTAAATACAGATTTTAAAAAACTTTGATAATTTTAGGTTGTACGATTATAATATGATAGTTGTTTTAATAATAAATAGTCGTAGATCCGTGAGCGAGTATTGCCATGCGAGATTAACCACTGATATTCTTTAGAGTTCTGTAAGTTCAAATGAGCAATTAAGATTTAAAATTAGAACGTGTGTATAGTAAATAGTATTTAGCAGTAGCGCAAACTGGCAGGTATGAAAAATTATCCACTGATGTTCTTTAAAGAAAATGTGTTCTGTTTCTGTAAGTTAAAATAAGGAATTCACATTCAAAATTAGAACGTGTTCAAATATCGGATAGCGGTTAGCAGTAGCGCATATAGTTGCGGAGAGAGTTGATCTGTGAGTACTGGCAGCTGTGACACATTAACCACTGATGTTATTTAGAAAATTTTAATTTGTTTTGTCCGTAGTTCAACCTTTGTCGCCAATTTTGGAATTCAGATTCAAATTAGAACGTGTTCAAATATCGGATAGCGGTTAGCAATAACGCATACAGTTGCGGGGGTAGTTGATCGGTGAGCGAGTACTGGTGCGCGTGGGAGGCGGCGGGACGCGCACGTGCCGAAGGTAGGCTGCGCGCGCGCTGCCACGCCGCGCCGGAGACCATCGGCTCTTCAGCGCCGAAGCCGTTCATGCTTAGCTCTAGTCCTATTTGAGAAAAAAAGCTGGTTTACAAAACAATACAGAAGGANCAATTTCTTTTCTATTAAACTATAATCTATTCCATTAATTCCATTCAATTACTAAATTTCTTTCCATTCTATTGCATTTCATTTTCAAATTTCGAAAAACCTAACTGTTGATGACGGTTTATGGTTTTAATTTTTATTTTGTTTTTGAGGGTGTGTTTAAAATGTACTAGTATGCATACTACCTACATTGTGCAAAATGTCAAAGAGCGCGACGCGTCGCGAGCCCGCTACCAGTCTGTGAGCATCATCGGGCGCGAGCGCATGTCGCTTTGTATTTCACTCTAAAGGCGTGGTTTCCGAAATAAAGACTTTAGAGCGTGTGAACGTGTTTAAATCAGTATCCCGTAGTCTTCAGCTGGTCTTCGAGCACGGATCTTCATGTTTCACTCGCCACAGCAGTTGTTAAAAATGGTTAACACGCGGAGCACCACCCGACGCGAAAAAGAAACCGCCACGGAAGTCACAAGTGAAATGGCGGCAGGCCCATCCAGCAGCATCAAGGCGGAATCACGTCCGCCACCTAAAGCTCCGTCGATAGCACCGTCATCCTGTTCCAGAAGGTCGAGTGCCTCTTTCGAAGCACGGCGGAAGAGTTTGTTGCTGGAAGCTGAAAAAAGAAAAGCTGAAATCAGGATGCAACTTATAGATAAGCAGCTAGATGCAGACCTAGCCAACTTAGAAGAAGAAATGTACAGTCCACACGATGGTAGCGAAGGCAATGCACACCGTGAATTTGAAAATTGGATGGAAAAAAGTCAGCTGGAATTGAACAAGCAGGAAGCCCCCAATGTTGGCCCTGAAACGGGCTTTCTGCACCCGCCGGTGAACGCTGCTGGCACTTCAGAGGGTACAATTCAGATGCTGGCTGCTGCAGTGAAAAATTTGAGTGCTGTTCCTACCCACAATACTTCGGAATCGAAATTGCTAAGCCGTATTTGTACGCCTAAAGAGTTACCAGACTTTTCAGGCGACCCGTTAGACTGGCTTCATTTTAAGCAAGCATTCGAAGAATCTACAGCGGTGTGTAACTTCAGTGCGAAGGAAAACTTATGGAGATTAAGAAAATGTTTGCGTGGGCAAGCTAAAGAAACCGTTTCAGCCCTGCTAATCAGTGCTACTTCACCTGACCGTATAATGGCGACATTGGAGCTACGTTTTGGCGATCCCGATCACATCCTGACCCGTTTGATACAAGACCTCAAGAAACTTCAATCTGTGTCAAATGATTACCCGAAGGATATAGTGATATTTTCTATCAAAGTACAGAATTTTGTGGAAGCTGTACGTGCAGTCGGCAGAGAGGAGTACATTCAAGGTATGAGTACAGTGTCTATCATACTATCTAAGTTGCCGACGGTACTCCTTTCAAAGTGGTCAGATTACAGCTTTCCACTAATACAAGCCAAAACTAATAAGTCACGATTAGAAATGTTGTCTGAATTTTTGAACGCAGAGGCAATAAAAGTATCTGCGACTGCAAATATTTACGCTCTGAATGCACGCACAGAAAGCTATAAATATAAGCAAAACGACAACAGTAACACTAGATCACATACTGTTTTATTACAAACTGACAAGCAAAGCGATGATACGCAGTGTCAGTTTTGTCGTGCATCGAAACACAAACTCACTGATTGCAAAAAGTTCAAGAAGTCGTTATGCAAAGTGAGATGGCAACATGTTAAACGCTACGGTATTTGTTTCAAATGTTTGGAGGCGAAACACCTGCGAGACACCTGCCCCGCGCCAGCCTGCGATAAGGACGACTGTGGCCGCGCGCGCATCACAACTTGCTTCATTACTCGAATAATAAACTGCGCGGCGAAAGCGCAACACAAGAACACGAAGAATCGCAAGACACGGCCGAGACAGTGACGCATGTTAACGCGAGTGTACGTAAAGTACTATTAAAAGTGTTACCGGTACGTGTGCATACGAATAACGGTGATTACATCGACACTAGTGCGTTACTCGACGACGGTTCGACTGTGACTATGATAAGCGCCAGGCTCGCCGATCGGGCCGGGCTGCGCGGGCGCCGCGAATCTATGCGTGTGTGCGGGCCGTGGAGCGATAACGAACTGGTTTACGATACGACCGTATTGAACTTGCAGCTTTCTGGTATGGACAATAAGATACATAGTATTAAAACACGCAGTGTTAATGAATTAAACTTGCCTATGCAAATGTGTTCTATTGTAGATTGTGATAGGTTTGGTCATTTAAGAAATATTAAAGATAAATTGTGTAATATTGATAGTAAACCTGAGATTTTAATAGGGCAAGATAATTATGATCTATTGTTACCTTTAAAAGTGATGTCAGGTAAATCACATGAGCCGTCAGCAACACTCACACCTTTGGGCTGGAGCATTCATGGTTGTGTAAACATACCGAGGGGGGCGCGTCGCACGGCCTGCGCTGGCGCGCCGTCCGACGTCGGCGCTGTCCTGCACGTCGCCGAGCCCGAGCTGCTCTCTGAGGAGCGGGAGCTGCGAGCCCTGCATGAGGAGGTACGTCGAGCTTTTACTTTGGAGGCGATGGGAGTGACAGGTAAGCCTAGAGTAAATGCAGATGACGCTCGCGCCGTCGAGCAGCTGGAGCGGACCGCTCAGCTGATTGACGGGAGGTGGCACGTGGGCCTGCCCTGGAACGATCCCAATTGTACCATGCCGGATACATACCATAGTGCACTTAAGAGGTTAGAAGGAGTGGAACGTAAAATGAAAAAGGACACAGGATACGCTCAAAGGTATACCGAAAGGATAGATCATTTATTAGACAATCATTTTGCCAGGGAACTAGAGGACAGTCAACGCACACAAAGGACGTGGCACCTGCCACATTTCGGGGTTGACAACCCTAACAAAAGGAAAATGCGTTTGGTGTTCGATGCCGCCAACGTGGTTGATGGTTTGTGTTTAAATGATTATTTATTAAAGGGACCGGACCTACTCACCTCACTTTTCGGTATAATGCTCAGATTTAGAGAGAACCAAGTGGCAGTCACAGGTGATATTCAGGATATGTTCCTTAGAATCAAGATTTTATCACGTGACCAGAACGCCTTTAGGTTTTTNTTAGGTTTCCATGGAGAGACAACCCCACGGATAACGTACGTACCTACGCGATGACGTCACTTTTGTTTGGTGCGAAGTGTTCGCCCTTCATCGCTCAATTCGTTAAAAATAAAAACGCGCAACGATTTGAGTCCTCGATGCCGGCAGCCGTCGATGCTATTATTGGTTCTCATTATATGGATGATTATATACAAAGTTTGCCGGACGAGGAAACGGCGATTGAGATGGTAAGAAACATTTCAAACATTCACAAACAAGGTGGTTTTGTCATGCGAAATTGGACCAGTAACAGCGGGGCAGTACTAAACTCCGTACCAAAAGAAACTTTAGGAACTGAGGCCGTAAAATTTAAAATTGATCAGCAATGTGACGGCGAACGCACACTTGGACTTTTATGGTATCCAAGTACGGACGAATTAGCGTTTGACGTTTCATTTAAACGTATTCCTGATAGTATCGTGCAAGGTAAAGAAAGGCCAACCAAAAGGATTATGCTTCGTGTTGTTATGTCAATTTTTGACGTATATGGATTCCTTTCTCCTTTTACTATTCAAGGTAAGATAATGCTGCAGGATACTTGGCGTTTAAGGGTTGGCTGGGATGACTCCATTCCATCCGATTTATTTAATAGATGGCTTAAATGGATGAAACTGCTATACAATTAATTGATAAGATTCGTGTACCGAGATTAGTGATGGTCAACTCGAGTAAGTAACTCGAGTTAATTCGAGTTGGGCGTAACTCGAACCCACTCGAGTTGAATTCTCTCCGACTCGAGTTCGTATCGTAAACCGAATGGAACCGACATGGACCGAAGATTGCCGATCATATAAATATAAATATTTTTTAAAATTAAAATTCAAGCCAAAAATCCATGAATAAATTATTATATTTCAAACAATAATTTTCTTTCTAACTTTAGTTAGTATGATTCTCCCAATACATTATAAATGATATTTGTTAAAATGTTAATGCGAATCTGAGGGAATAAACTGGTAAAAATAAGTTAAAAAACTCACTTGTCCATCTAGTTAACTCGAGTTACGTAACTCGAGTTCAACCCGAGTTACGTGGATTTTAACTCGAGCTAAATCGAGTTTTGTTTTTCCCGAGTTGGCCCATCACTAACCGAGATGTTATCACCGCGCCGCAAGTGCGAGCGAGACAACAAACGAACCTTTCACAGCTGGCTCCGTAGCATTATCCTCTAGCGCTACGAATGTGACTACGGATGCGCTTACGCAAGCGGCTGACTACGGCGAAATGTGCTACGATACGCGAGCCTGTGCTACGAAAGACTTAGTATCAATGCAATGTTATAGAAACCTACAGTTGCATTTATTTAGTGACGCCGGGCAAAAGGCGCTGTCCGCTGTCGCATACTGGCGTTGGATTTCTGCGGATAATAAGATATGCGTTTGTTTAATCGCTAGCAAATCCAGGGTTGCGCCCGTTAAACCAGTAACTATGCCGCGTCTTGAGCTGCAGGCGGCGTTGTTGGCAGCGAGACTCGCTCACACTATTATTACAGAGCATCAGCTATCGCCCGAGCGACGCTTCTTTTGGTGCGATTCTACTACCGTATTGCACTGGCTACGTAACAACACGCGCACGTATAAAACGTTTGAAGTAAACCGACTCGGAGAGATTGATGATCTCACAAGTGTGTCAGAATGGAGGTATGTACTTACGAAACTAAACATAGCGGATATAGCGACACGAGATGATTTCAATTATGATTTGTTTATAAATCAATGGTTCCGCGGACCTCAGTTCTTGTACGAGGATATGGAAAACTGGCCGCGCGATGTTGTAGAACCTGAAAATGAAAATTTTGGTAAGCCTACCACAGATTATATAGGAATTGTACACAATG